AATTTAGTATTCAAATTAGAAACATGATGTATAAATTTAACCCAGGACTAAATATACTTCTGTTTAAATAGAGAGAAAGAAGCCAGTCTTCCTAACCCATATTTGCCACACATGTTGACACTCTGCATATTAAAAATAACAAAAAAACTCAAATTGCCTTTAAATAAGTCCAGACAGATAAAAATGAGGGCTTTATATGCTCAATGTCTCCCTCCTTTTCTGAGAAGCTGTATTTACACCCATAGAATCAGGCGTGCCCCCACTATGAATTTATTGGCTGCTATATTAAGACTTATTGTGGGAAATAACTTGAAAGGATGGATTTCTCTGTGAAAGTTTCAGGATGTATTCATGATTTGAAATACTTCCAATAAGATATGTTGTGGAAGCAGACAGTGTAAAATGAGGGGCAAATCAACCTGGAACTAGATAGGATGTGTGTACACTCATTCAGAACCTCACACTGAAGTTCAAGCCCTAGATTATTTTGTTTACTTTATTTTTCATTAAAGTGCACCTCTGCCTCAAAGCGGAAGTTAAGTGCCAAATTTCTATGCATGTCTCTTCTCAAAGAGATTCCAGAAAGATGGGAAACAGGAAGTACTGAAAATCCTGTGAGAAACTCTGTTTTTGGATTTCTAGCTCAATCTGTATAGATTTAGTGCACAGATTCATAAATGTTCCATGGAACACTACTTCAAAGGATGGATTTTCATTAAGAACTGTTTATTTAATCTCAACTTTCCCCAAAATTGATATTGGAATTCTGATTTAGCCTAATAAAAATATATCAAATCCACTCTCAGCTGTGGTGTACTGGAGTTTTATTTAACTCTGGTACTGACACTTAATATCTGCATGGTTTTGAATATGATGTTTAGATTTTTACCTACACATGGGGGCTTTATACTCAGTCTATATTGCTTCATGCATCAATGGAGATGAAGATTTTTGACGTGCTGCTGAACTATAAAAGGATGTGATAATGACTTGCCACAGTCTGTGGATGTTTTTGGCAAGTGGGCTTTGGACTCCAACCATTTTGGAAGAAACGAGGAAGGAGGGCTGACTTCCAGTGAGGATCATAGCCAAGGGGTAGGAAGATCAAAGAGAGGCCTTGGAAGCCAAGGATGAAGGGAAGATAAATCTGAGGGTCGGGCGCTGAGAGAGGAAGCAGAGAGTCCAGAAGGATGGCCCTTCCCAGAGGAGTCTCGGGAATGATCAGTAATATAAAAGACTTGTGGAGTTAGTAGAGGAGGGCTGCAGTGGAGGGCTGTGCAGGAGAACCGAGAGAAGAAATGACACGGGGCATGGTGGCCTGGCGAGGCCTGCCGTCTGCGAAACCGTGTGCCTTAGCTGACGTTCTCCAGAGGAGTAGAATCGATGGAAAATATGTATGTGACTGAGGCAGAGACATATTAGTCAGACTCAGGACCAGAGGGAGGAGAGCCCACAGTGCGTGTCTGTGGGATTACAGGCAGGAGAGCCCAGCAGCTCCTACAGAAGCCAGAAGCCCTGGAAGTAGAGGGACCAAGGATGCAGCATCAGTCCAAGATCAGAGCCTGGAACCTCCCCGGAGAGTCAATGGTGGGAGTCTGGGGTGGAAGAAACTGGGGTGGAGACCTAGAGACCAGGTCCAAGGGTTACAGCAGCAGAGGATACACCCACTCAGGAAGACTGGGGCTCTTCACAATGGCACACCTCCCTCCTATCTCCCTTTCGTATTCCACCCAAGCAAGCTACATGTTTATTGGTTGGTGCCACCCACATCCGGGTCAAGTCTTCCCCTCTCGGTTTGCTGCCATGTCAGTCATCCACAGACATGCCCAGAACCGTGCCCCACTGGTCTGCTAGGAGCTTCTTACTCCAGTCGTTTGACAGAGCGTGGTTAGCCATCATCTGTGCAAACCCCCATGACAGTTTCCAGTTTCTCATGGACTGTGTCTCAGAGTGCTTCCTTCTTCTCTGACAGCCCTTCTTCACCGTACATGAACATCTCTCCTAAGGTTACAGGCTGCACTGATGTCTTCTGACATCTATAGTCATGACACATTAAAGGCTGCTTAGTAAATTGTGAAAATTAATGTTGTTTCTGACATACAAATATATATTCCTTTTACTCAGGAAACACAGTGCTTTCTTCCACAGAATACTATATAGGCACCAGGATGTGTGTGATTAACTTTCTGTTTTAGTTTAGACCTCGAATGTCCCCAGGGCCCCGTGTATTAGCAGCTGGGGCTTTTGGAACGTGACTGGATCATGGGGACAGTGCTCTCATCATGGGTTAATGCTCCTATGGATCAGTACAGCTAACTGTGCTGTTAGCTGAGGCCTGGCAGAAAGAGGAGGTCACTGGGGTGTGATCTGAAAAGGTCATCTCCTGCGGCCATACCACCCTGAATGCGCCCAATCTCATCTGAAAGGGTCATCCCCCTCCCTGGCTCCTCCCTTCTCCCCTGCTTCCTGGCCACCGTGATTCGAGTAGTGCTCCTCCCCCAGGCCCTTCCACCATGCTGTGTCTGCATTGGACCTGCCAGCCATGGACTGAGACTTCTGAAACCATGAGCCAAAATAAGCCTCTCTTCCTTTAAATTGTGGTTGTTGGGCATTGTGTTTTGCTGATGAAGAAGTAACTGGGATACTTCCCATTCTTGCTTCTTTCCAAATATACTGAAGAACAAAACCAAACAAAACCAAACAAAACCAAATAAGCAACCCTCCTCTTTTTCTGACACACCAGAGCTGCCTCTCAATCTACAGCCCCCTATGAAGCATGTGCATCAAAAGTAGAAAGTGGAAAAATCATTACAAAAATATGGAAGATATATTTTGTCCAAAAGTGATGTTTTTGGAGTTCATTTTTTAAAACTGAGATTTTTCTCTTGAAAATTTCTTGGACTAGGAATAATGTCATTTAATATTTTACATAATTATTGGCACTTAGTAACTAACAAAAGCAGGTTACAACTAAAACATGAATTTTCCAAATTTGAATGTTACTTACTGATTGGGAAAATTGAAAGCCCAGTCTTGTCTCCTTTAGGGACAGAAAACGTAATTTGGAGTATTTATACAGTATTATATGAGCAGAGCTGCAGATTGTGGCCTGTATGTGGCGATCGTTTTAGCAGCCTATGCAAGGTTAGCTGGGAGTGAAGCTTAAGTCCTCAAATTTGAAAAGAAATTTCTTAAAATCACTGGCTAAATAATGGCAAGGTCGCCTCTGATCATTGTTCCAGGAATAGGAACAAAAGTGATTAAAACGTAAACTGAGAATGAGCTGAGACATCGGTTGTGGTTCTCAGAATGGAACACCAGAAATCCACTGGAAAAGAGAAAACCTCCCGTTTCCTTCACAGCAATCACACTAATCATTCTACCAGGCCCGAGAGGGCAGCTTTAGACCGGAGACGACAGAGATGTTGTTTGTGCTTCTGGTTCCTCCCTGCCCCTCCTCTAAAATACCAAAAGAGAGTGAATCATAAGAAGCCCTTTGTGATGTCTTCTTTCACCTCATTCTGCTTTCCTCGCTAGTCTTCCATTTCCAAATAAGGTGTGAGAGGCCTAAGTACCATCACATGTTCGAAAGGTCCACCAGGCTGGTGTGCGCCCCCCTGAGCCGGCCGGGCGCCCCCACTGCTGTCCAGGAGAGCCCTGGCCCTTCTCCCTGCCGAAGGGTGGAGCCTCCGCCCAGCCGTGAGGTGTGAACGCCCCCCCCCCCCCCGGGACCCCCCCGCCCCGGGGGGGGGGCCCCCCCCCCCGCGGAGGGGGGGGACCGCCCCCCCCCCCCGTGACACTCGCTGCCCAGGGGGTCGATGTGCAGGGCCCTGTGGCAGCCCAGCCGCGCCCTCGCAGGCAGCTCTCCTTCCCTCTCGAGGACAGGCTGGTTCCAGGCCGGGTGCTCTGCGGGACAGCTCGCGTGGAGCCGGGAAGCGTGCCTGTTCCAACGCACACCACTGTGTAACTTAGGCATCACACTTAAAGCACTCCCTAGTGTTTTGTTTTGCAGACGTGCAGGAATGATTCTGCGCTGTTTTTCTCCAAGGTAAATTAAGTGCTCATTCTTCTAATTTCATTGGAATAACACCTTGTAAACGAAGGGCTGGATGAACCTCCTGGAAACAGAACTGAGTAGAATGAGTAAGCCTTTCCCAGAGGAATACTCATATACTAGACTCTCTATAAACGCAAGTGCTTTTTATTTCCAGAATAAAAAGCTCCTGCAGCGCTGTCACGGGCCGGCGCCGGGGAGAGAGGTCTAAAGCGCTCTGGGAGGGTCCAGTCGACCTCATCACTCAGTGAGGCCCAGCACCCCATGCTTTGTGAGACCACGACCTCAGCCAAAAAGGTCGTCTGTTTCCTGAGCCATTGGCACCGTGATCTGGGAATTGGGGTGCACTAAGCCTCACCCAGAAATTCAGGCTGAGCAGTGAGCAGGGCCAGCCATGCCTCAGCAGCACTGGGAGCTTGTGACTTCTGACAGGTTACTCTGTGGTTCTGCAGTTGCTCACCCTGTGTTCTTCCCTGAGCCTACAGAATTCTTGGGAGTTTAATCAATGTGACTGTTTGGAGAATCCCAAATGAATGAAGCGAAGTAAAATTAAAACTGGGTTCTATGTTTTTTTCATATTTTTATCACTCGTTCTGTTTCTTGTTGGACCCATTTCCTTAGTAAAAGTTATACTACCACTTTTTCAGAATGCAATTTTCTGGGTCTAAATGAGCTACACTGGATGTAAGATACACCCCAGAAATAAATTATATTTAGGAAGCAAACATTATTCTGACATTTGGCTTAATAATTCTTCATCTGACATGTTACGTATGCATAGGTAACTCCTACTTTAAAACTATACAATTCTTGACTCTCTCAAATAAATACATTCATGGTGAAATGCCTGATTTACATTTCTAATCCAAAATTCAGAAACTAGTTGAATTACCATTTATTTTCTATAGCATTTTAAAAATTAAGTCTCCTTTTCACTTCCTTGTAGTTTGTTAGAGCATAAAATCTTAGAAATGGAGGGAAAGCACAAGGAAGAGTTGGATACTTTAAAGGAGGAGAGAGAGAACCTGCAAAGCTTGGTTACCCGCCAGTCACACATAATCCAGGAGCTGGAGAAGCAGCTGATCAGAGCAACCAGCAACAACAGCATGCTCCAGAAACAGCAGCTGGAGCTCATGGACACGGTGCACAACCTTGTCGACCTGTGCACTAAAGACGGTGGTAAGAACTCTTCCTCATTTTGATTGTGTAAATGTTCTATTTAATACAAGGGTGCTGTTTTAGGCACAGTCATGAACGTGCTGCCGTCTTATTTAGAGATTAAGTATGTTTAAGGGGATGTGTTTGGGTGTGAAGTTGGCAGAGGAGATGTGACCGTCACTCCTGCTATGTCAGCTTCACTGGATTAAGGAACACCTCATAGATGAGTGAAGCACACTCCCGGGTGTGTCTGCAGGGTCAGGGAGCTGTGGCCTTGGGTTCTACATCTGTCCCTTGCCTGGTCATTTCCTCCCTGGCACTGGTACCCGCTCTGCTTCCTGGCCACCATGAACTAAGCAGCTTCGCTCTGCCAGGCCCTTCCGCCATGACGTTTCTGCCTTGGAGCTGATGACCATGGACGGAATCCCTGGTAACTGAGCCAAAGTAAACCTGTCCTCTTTACGTTATGGGTGTCTGCTGTTGTGTCTCAGGGACAGGAAAGCTGAGCAGGGGAACAGTGCCAGAGAGGGACCGGCCAGGGGCCACACATAACTCCCTAGGCCACGTCTCCACCATACACCCAGACACACCCAGGAGCACACTGCTGATCTCCAGGTGTTTTGAAACCAGAGGAAGCTGACGTGTTGGGGTTAAAGTGCTACAGCCTTCTTCCTTGCACTGATTGCTGTGTAAAAGCAGCAGATGAATTTTATTCTTAGACGCACTCATGAGGTTTGGTGACAAATGTATGCTTCTAACTTTTCAGACAGTGTATTCGTGAATTTGTGAATCCACAATATCTTTCTGAGATTCCTATTTTTTTTATTCTTGGTCTTTATAATCTTAGATAAAATCTATTTCACGGTCTTGAATAAATATTTGATATTACAGTGTTAGACACTTAACTATAAGACAGAAATTAGCCAGTGCTGAAGACTAGTTCAGAGGAATAGGGACAATTTCTCATTTTGCAGCTAATGTTAATTGGTTCAGTGTTGCTTGCAAAGAAAAGATGACAGACTCCAATGATTATAGATGATCTAGAAATATTTACTATGATCCCTTGTCCTTAGTCCTGTCCAGAGAAGTCCTGTCCAGAGAAGTCCTGCCCAAGGTATCGGGCATATTTATTTGGCGATGTTTTGATGATGGTGGAAATTGCAAATTTTTGCTATCACTGGAGCGTGGAGCCTTGTGGGTGTTGGACCTATCTACCAGTTCCATCTCCCCAGAGGACACCCCTCTGCCTACCGACCCACCACCCCAGGAGCATGAAGGGGGTACCTCATGCACCACCTGTTTGTAGCACGGCCTCAGCCTGGGCGCTCTTCAGTCCAGCCTCTCTCTGGGTGAAGACAGAGCTGCAAAGGGCTGAGGGCGACAGAGCTGCTCACCCTCCCCCCTGAACCTCACTGTCCCCGAGCTGCACACCTGTGGAGCCCCCTTGGGTTTAGCCTGCACTGGAGCTGCATGGGGATGCACACGGCCTGGCTTTCCTGTGTAGATAGGAGTGTGAGACTCACTCCGCACTGAGGGTCTTGCTTTGAAGACATTTCACTTTTCTCTGCTGTAGCCCATTACCTTGGGTCATGTCTCCGTTCAACAGTAAACAGGCTTATTTATGCACGCCCTGCAGAGGGACATTCTAAACAGTGAGTCCCAGGCTCCATTTGGGTGTTCTCAGCCATGTGACTGGGAAGGGAAAATCCTGCTCATCGGCGGAGGCTGCCAAGGGCCCACCAGAGTCCACTGGAAGGAAAGCTCAGCAGGGCTTTGCCAGAGAATTTTAATGGAGCTCATGAGGATTTGGAAATTAAGTATGAGTATGAGACATGTCTGTCCTCCTATTGAGACGAATCCATTTGGGGCAAGATTGGAAACACATTTTCTCATCACCCTAAGACTCACGGCTCATGGGGTGGTGAGTCGCACAGAGCTCCTGTGTCTGCCTGCTTACTGTAATTCATCTTCTCGGACCGTTTGTCCAGTAAACGTGTCCACACGCTGTTAGCACAGGGGGTGTGACTTTAAAATTCCTGCCTAGGTTTGCAGCGTGCGTGCCAGGGACAGAGCCAGTGCCTCTTCAGAGGCTGAATGGTCACCAGGGCGACCTATAGATGTTACCCTCTCACCCAGGGGGTGTGAGAAAAGTAACTGTGCTTATTCTGTGACTGGCGTACCCTGAAATAGTAACAGCAATTAATAACACAGACTCAAGTTGTCTGATACTCCAGCCATATAGATATCTGTTTTCCTTTTAATGATTCAATGCTGAGATAAATTCTGTACTAACTACAAGATCTGTGGCCTGAATGTAAGGGTTTTGCCTGATTTTCCAGTAGCTTCTGGGCACTCATAGACAGAGATTTTTTTCGCTTCTTGTTCATCTTTTTTTTTCTTTAATTTCTGTTAAGTGCTCAAACTAAATATTTAGCTATCTTAGGCCTCAGACACAAAACTGGAAAGTGGTTCTCAGTAAGATTTCTATCAAGAGATTAATTCTCTGCATACCTTTACTTTCACTAGAGCCATCATCTTCAGTTATTGTGAGTTTAAAATTAAAAATGGCTAATCTCAAAATACTGGATTAAATGTCAGTTACTAAAGTGAACTTTTATTTCATTCTAAAACAGATAAAACCTTTCTTTATAACCAAAACTTTAGCATATACATTTATTTTTTATCAAAGGATTGTATGTAAATGCTTACTTTTAAATTCATTTGTATGGAAATATTCCAAAATCAACACACCGTAATAAATGCATCAAATTGTCTAAAAATGTACTTTAAAAATTCAAACAGTGGTCATCTGAAAGAGCTTCCACAAACACCCCAAGCTGCATCATTCCCTGCCCCCCATTGCTACCTGACCCCAGAGGCTTTCTGTTTCAGTCGCCCCGGGCACTGTGGAGGGAGCCGGAATAGAACTCTGCACCACACGGACGGTCCCTGGCCAGTCCTCTGTCATTGGCAGCAAATTTAACTTCATGAATGGCTGCATAGCTTCTGAAGTCAGGATGACGCTGTCCACGGCCCCAGGGTGAAGGCAGAAGCCAGGTGCTTGGTGTAAAGGCACAGGGCACAGTACAGGGGACACTGGCCCCAACTTCAGCTGTCCTCTCCCTGGGGGAGAAGCCAGTGAGACACCCACTCCTCAGGGGCTCCGTAGGACCCACACTGCCCTTCCAGAAATGAGTATAGCACCGGAGATGCCTGGCTGTCCACAGTCATCCAGGCAGCTCCTTTTAGCCTCATCTTCTAGCCTCTAAAACAGGGTCGTAATATTTACCTGACACACTTGTGGCGACGCACCGTAAATGTGCACGACTTCCTTGTGGTTCTGCATTGTAAAAGAGTGAATTTGAAGAGCGCTCACCACCAGGAAACAAGGAAGTCAGCACTGCCCGATGGACATGGGTATCCCAATGGCACTTTTTCCGGTAAATATGTGCTTTTGATATTTGTCAGTAAAAACACAAGAAAAAGTAAGGGACCTGGAATAGATAAATAACTTGCTCAGTAAGAACAAATCTTATGAAAGTTAAGTGATGCGTGTAAAACACAGGGCATCTGTGCTTAAGTCTAGGAAATGCTCAAAGCACAGTGCTCCTGTCTTTTTTATGCCTCCAAAGAGCTCAGAACACGTTACAGCTCTGCGAGGAAAGGTTTCTCTGGGAAATGCTGGGAATGCACCTTTCCGCAGACCTTCCTTTAGTCCAGAACTGTTCCTCTCTTTTTTCAAACAGGAAGTGCTTCAGTGGAGCTCACAGCACTCTTTCTAAGCCAGCTGAAATGCGGCAGGGCTAAGCCAAGTGCAGCTAAGAAACGATTTGCTGAGATGAGTCACCAAACTCTCCTCTGCTAGTTCCATTTAGGCGGCAGTGGCGTCCCAGGCAACTGGTTATGTTACTGTGACTGTCACTCACTTTGTATGACTTCTGGGTAACACGTTCATTTTCATCTCACTTTGGCTGCAAACACTTGGTCGCCTTGATTCTTAGAAATGTTGCTCACTAAAGGCTGTGTCCTCAGTGTTAGCACTGTGGCTAAGCTCAGGCAGTTTCCTCGTGATTTTGGCAGTTCAGGTACGCTGGAACTGTGCACTGTACACTGGCGGTGGGAGGAAGCTGTGGGGTGGTGTGAGGGATGACAGGTGAGGGCTGCGCTGTGCATCCCCGGCCAGCTGTGTACACTGGGGTGGGGGGGACGCCACTGCACCCGCTGAGCACACACAGGCACCATAGTAAGTGGGAGGGAGAGAGAGAGAGAGAGAGAGAGAGAGAGGAAGGAAGGGAAAAATGAAAAAGAGAACAGTATTTAGGCTCAGTCATGAAATGACCCAGACTGATTCTCTCACTGTCGAGGTCGGCTGGGTGCGTACTCCTGCTGCACTGGAATGTGATTCACAAACTCACCCGTTCATTCACGACGAGTTCCGCCAAAACCGTTCTGTTTCAGCTTCCCTTCTAAGGGATACGGATGTGTATCTGTTTTTATTAAACATACATTCACTGGGATCCTATAGATCTTATAGATCACTGGAAAGAAAAAGAAAACGTAATAACCAGGTGTATTTGGCTTCAAGGCATCTAGAGTTTGACAAGAAGAGAAACCGCTCAGTGACCAATTCGGTTCGGTTCCAGAACTCACTGTTGCCGTGAGGCAGGGAATCGGCGCCCATGAAGCATACGGGGTATCTGAACGTTATGGCAAAGAGAGGAAGAGGGCAAGACGGAGCATCTGCAGCCCTCCTGGGCACTTGAGGGCGTGCTGTCATGACCCCAGCACTGCTAAACTTTTCCTGCGTTCACTCAGTCCAGAACAGCAGGTGGACAGAGCACTGAAGTCCAGCACCGTTTCATAACTGCCTGGAGAGCCTGAGAGTTTGCTCATGGTTACACAGCTGGGAAAAGTGAATCTGGAACTGAAATGTATGCAGGCTGGCTGCAGTGGGGACGTGACGGCTAAGGCTTCGAAAGAAACAAAGTGGAGGACTCTGTGAGGGCGAAGTAACGTGCATT